CGTCAGGTCAACTTCTTCCTGATCATTTAGCTCCACATCCTCTTCGACCTCAACGCGACTGATCTCCATCTCATCATGCTCTCCTCCAGCTTCAGGGATATCACCTTCAACATCTATGTGCGCGCTTCCTTGCGTATCCCGGGAGTCATCTTCCTTCAGGCTCTCTATGTCTTTGAATGGATCCTCACTATCTCCATCTGTGCCAGTGCAAGTTGTCTGATTGCGCTGGTCCTCGGCATCTGAGGCTGCACGAGTAGCGACCCTCACCCACTTCATGAGATCCTTGTCATAGACCATACGCCCGACTCTCTGTGGAAGAGCGGGCACATCCGATGGCGCAATGCGGGTAATCTGAACTGGACCAGCGTGTTTTACGAACGAGGGTGCACTGCTTGTCGTAGTTATGGTTCCAGAAGCTGTGCTAGAGGACACCATCCTGTTAATATCCTCATTGGGGCCAGAGCGGGTCGAAGATGAGGGATACGAAGAAGGGATCTGTTCGCGAGCATGTGCCATGGAATGCTGACTTGTCGAAGGAGTTACCCGAATGTGCGGGACGTTATTGAGACCTGCGTTCGGTGTGATAGACACAGATGTAACTAGATGCTGCCAGGGTGCTTCAATGGACATATTGGACATTTCGTGCTCCAACGTTCGGTCAGTATCCTCAATGATGGTATTGCGCGACGCTTTCCGTGGACTGCGGTAGCTCTTGGAGGAAGATGACGGCCTGCGGGGTGACCCGAACTTATTGACTTTCTTCTTGCCGAGGTTAACTTGAGATACAGAGGATACACTGTCGCACGAGCGTTCGATACGTGAAATGTCGTCCGCATGGGTGAGATGGGATATGTCAGTGGCACCCGAAAAAAGACGTTTCGACCCTCGAATATCATTTTTGATCTGCTGCATCAGGCTCGCTGCTTGATGGCGATATGCAAGAGACGAATGATTACTGGGAGCAGTTATGGCTGTTGATGAACTTGTAGTAACCGCGCTACGATCATCGGGGACTCGAAGGACAGAGGTACCAGTCCCTATGCAAGTGTTGGCGATTGACATGTACATACGCCAATGATTTACATACCTGATAAAGGCTTGGACTGCGCGTTAAGAGCCTCAGCTCTATCGTCGGCTTGGCTTTCGGGGGATTGCAGACCTGCTGTAGTAGAAATCGTGGAGAAATCGCGTGCGGCCTTGATCTGTTGCATGAGGGAACGAGACTCGCCAACATAGTCTACCCTTGAGACCATTGGCCTCGCGATAGTAGCACCCGCACCATCGCCTTCGCCATAATAGTCGCTTGGAGGGCTGAGTTTGACCCGTTTAATGCTGCGGATAGGTGTGTCGTCTGAAACGGTGGCCTCTTGCACGTTGATCAATCCTGGGCGTAGGATGCTCCTGGAAGAACCATTGCCTTCTGCGCTTCCACCAGAAGGGGTATTGATTGCTATTGAATCGACCATTGCCGACAAGTGATCACGCGTGAATGTGTCGTACTGAAGCTGAAAAAGGCGTAGGCGTGGGTCTGTCATGGGAGGTCGTGCGATGCTGTAAACACTTGGCGTGCTTTCTGCCTGAGGCAAACTACCATTTGTGCGAGGAACAGCAAAAGTGAATTTGCATTCTACACTAGATCCGGGCGGCGCAAGTGAATTGAGGGAGGGTACTGTAGGCTTGCCTGGTTCGTGGTCTGTCTGTGAGTCGTTTGGCGTGTAGGCCTGAGATAGGCGAGAAGGAATTGTTGGAGCACACTGGAACGCAAGTGCAATTGGCTTCGAAGGAGGTGGTGAAGGTGGCTCGAACATTTTCTCGAGTGCTAAAGGACTGAAGAAGTCTTTAATGATGCCTCTCTTAGGTTGTCGGCCTGGCGTCTTTTGCAAGAGAGCTGGAATGGGTATATCCTCGCGGATTAAGAACGTACCAACTGGTTCAGGTGCTACTGGAAGTGGCTCAGTGTCATCCTGAGCTTGACTTGGGGTTCGCAGGTAGCCAGGTAACGGAGTTGTGAGAGAGATGGACTGAGTACCCATGGACGATGCTTCGTCTTCGTCTATCCACTCTTCATCCAAATCGTCCGTCATCCATGCCGGACGAGCTTCCGCCATGGCAATGAACGCAAGAGTGTTAAACGTTGCAGTGTTGAAACTTGTAAGACTCTAGCCGAGTTCTGGCACGCGGCGTGAGTTTTCACCACGTGACCGTTCTCTTTCTTGTTGGTCCGAGTGGACCCTTATTTAGCAATTATTTCTTTTTTTGCCTATAGGGGATAGCCTGGGAATACTCCTTAGCAGAGTTATGGAAGTGAGGGATCATATCCGTCATAATTAAATAAACATCTTTATGGTCAACTTTGCGCATCATTCTTCAGTAACAGTTACATCAAGGGCTATCAAGGGCTATCAAGGGTTGCCAAGCATCTCAATCGAACGTACATGAGAGCCCAATTGCCCTCTTTGTCCTTCATGTCAACCTCACATATATCCACAACCTCATCTATGATAGCGGCGGCCTCCTGGTCACTGAATTCCTTCAGGAACGTTCGGCGCGCGAACAGCTGAAGCCATCCACGGAGCCCACCGTCCGGCAGTGGCGTCAGCCTTGGCACCAAATCAATGGTATTAACGCGGAAACCCGCACTTTGCAATAACTACGCAGCCAAAAAAAATATGAGCAGCTGACGGCCATTCAACACATGACAGACCCTTTGATATTCTTCGATTGTCGGAAAGTACCAGGGATCCATTTTATCGGGCTCGTAACCTCGCCTTTTGACAGCCCGGTGAAGGCCGATCCGAACGCCTGCATTTGTCGTCATTAAAGATGTATCCACTCAATAGCGTAGATTTACCAATACAATTCATGAACCCACCCATCTCACATACAAAACGCCCACCGACCTTGAGCAGCCGCTTTGCCCCATCCAGAACTCCGCGCGGATTCTGTTTACACCAATGTAGTACGGCATTGCTGAAGACAGCATCGAAAGAGCTCTCCAACTCAGGAGGTATTTGAATATTTTGAAGGTCAGATATGTACGCGTGCCTAACCCCGTTCACCAAAGCTTTGGAAACCTGACAAAGACATCAATATTAATTAGGTAGCAACTCGGTTCATACAAACCATGTCATCATTGTAGTCAATACCAACAGTGAACCCGCTCGCACCAACAGCTTCTTGGATCCGCAAGGTCAGTTCCCCGGTCCCACATCCAAAGTCAACGATTCTTTCGCCAATGGAAGGTTTCAAAAGGGACAAAATGGGTGCAGTGTACTCAGTAGAATACACAAATGCCGCTGTCTGGTTGTAATTCGATGCAGAGTAGTCCGATGTTGACGAATGGTCCTGAGAAGCCATGCCTTCGAGGAGCCGCAGAACTGCAATAACTCTCTGGTGAGCGGACCTTTAACAACTCGTGTTCATGTATCGGGAAGCTTCGGCATTGCACTGATCGGCCGAAGTTCTAGGCACACCTGGCACTGGGCGTTGAATCACGGTAGGATCATAGGCTATTCAGGTTAGCTACTAAAAGCGACTGAATGGTAATCAGTGGCAGTGAACTCGGCCGAAATCTGACTGACGGCCGGACAGAGAAAGATGGTCGACCTGGGACCAGTGAGTACCCTGGACTCTGGATAAGAGAAGTATACTACTAAGCACATGGCATAGTCCTGAAACTCTGATCAAGAAAAGCAGATTTAACGGCTACACCGTAAATGAGTGTGTTCAATATTTCTCTCTGAGCCGCTTCGGAATCTGATTGGTGTATTCCAAGTTGAGTATGATCTTCCATCATATATTGATTGTCTGTAAACCAGCGAAGTGAATTATGGTTGGGTGAGCAATCATACGAACCATACATTTTCGCAATACGGCACCGCGGGGTCGGGAACCTGAGACACAGTTTGTGGTCCATGCGGGTGAGGAACACACCTTGGACTGTTTTGGATAGACATGCAGCTCGGGCTCGGTCTGGCACCTGGCTGAGGCGCATGAATCCTGAACTATTCATGTATCGGCCTTCGCATAAGGATCGATGAGGCTTTAAGCAAGCATATGCTTGCGCTTCGCCGGAGTATTCGCTGGTATTCGTGGCCATGTGGGGATTCGACATGTCAACAAGTCTTCGCGACAGAATGAGAATGAAAACGAGCTACGGCGAAGATATCGTGGTCGGGTAGAACCAAGGATGACAGAATTGTGGCGGATCCTGGAGCCTGCGATTGATGATATTGATGATCTTTTGTACACCGGTGACCGAGTTGTACAACTTGAACTTGTGCTTGAGTTTCGGTGTCACTAGAAGTTCCGCGGTACGTAAATCTGAGAAAGAAGAAGTTGGGTCACCGGCTGAGTTTGCCTTTAGCTTGCAATACACGATGACACTTCGGCTTTGACTTCGGGATTCATTTACTATTCATTAATGCATTCAAACCATGCGGTCGCAATACGAAATCTGCACCGTCGAAGTCATCTCAACAAGAAGCACGAACAGCTGTAAATGTGGTTCTTGCCGCGGATCAAACGAAACTTTTTATAATTAAAACGGTGACTCACAGCTGCGGGAGTTGACTGGAAGATAAGTCAAGAGATAAGTTGGTTACAGTATATGAAATTCTTACACCTATACAGACCTTTTCTGGTATAAACGTTCCATTCGTCGATCTTCTCTGTGGTACCGGCCTTCCCGGCGGACGATGTCATGATATCGGGACCGAACTGAGCCCACTGGCCATCCTGAACACACGGAAATTTCATGTCCATGGCGACTTGAGGGAGTTCTAATTGCTTTCTGCCTGGTTGTGGCAACCTCTCGTATGTCAATTCAGTCTATAATTTATTACTCGCCGGCTCTGCAGAAAAACAACGCTAGCGCTAATCGCCGATGATTGTGTTGTACGCTGCCGAGATTGAAGTTTTCTTACCGCCGTTTACTTCCGACCTAATATTGCTGCAGGTCCTGTAATCTCTTTCATTTGCATTAAGATGTGTCACTGTGACTTCTGCAGTCGTGACACATGATCCCGAACTGCGGTGATGCCGTTCATTGTTCATTAGATATGAATCTAGCCATCATAAGCGCATACCACAACTACCTGGCTACTGCAACCCGCCGCCGAATTAGCACACTGACGACCAAAAAGATACATTTCCTTTGAACGGCATGACAGTTGAAATAGTGAAAAAGCCAGGAACAGCGCTACAAGTGTTGGCATTGCCGATGCTCGTGATAGTATATATCAGACTTTCCTACCTATAGGAAAAGGCAGCCAGATCATATGGTACAAAGAAATGATTACAGGGGTTTCAGTCATTGAAAACACGTAGTGTGATGTAATGTGTTGTCCTATAGTCAGACAGGACATCGACACCAACTCTTGCTCCTTGCGTATCACGATAGCCTTCAAACAACGGTAGGAGAGGCTTGGGTGGCGAGATCAGGTTCTGCGCCAGGTCCGGCCGTACCGGTACTGGTGGCATGTGTGCCACTGGTATTGGCCGCAGATGAACTCGTAACTGGATGTTGGTCGGCCATACGACGAGCCTCTTCATGAATGTCGCGAACTTGCTTTGAAGTATTAGTGTAAAATTCGAGGACAGACTTTCCAAATGGAGATGAGATCGCCTTTGAGTAGTACTGTAATTGTGGGTTAAACTCATTCGGATAGACATCATTCTACTAACCTCGTGGGCAACCTTGGAATAACCTTTCTGTTCGTCGATGGTCTTTGCCCTGGTACGGGCATTCTGCAGCGTTGATTGCACTCTGCCGGATACTGTTTGGTCGGAACCGAGAGCTTTCTGTCCGACTGTTGTATCGAGGCCGCGCATATAATCTAAAAACCGTTTGGAAATCCCCTGCTTGTCTAACAAGGAAGGCGCGTGAGTTGACACTCGACATGGTACATGAATTAACTCACTGTCAATTTCGATGGCTCGCTGCAAGATGTGGTCGGAAAGTGAGTAGCCCTTTGCCAAATATTCGGCAGCAACTGTACTTAGATGTCAAGATGCTAGTCCATAACAAAGGGAGAATACGTACTTCCAGCTCTAGGCTTGTCTGACTGTTCGAAAGGTGAGCTTGAGTGATGCGGTTGCTCCTGATGATTGTGGTGTTCGACGTCGGAGGTGATGTTGAGTTGTTCACCGTCTAGAGTACCGCCATTGAGCTAGGGATGAGGTGTTAGTTAATCGGATTCAAATGTATAGTGTGTTGTCTTACCATGAGCGCTGTACCTGCAGACGAAGGTTTCTCAAAAGTGACAACTGCGGATTGTGTTGTCTCCCCCTCAGATTTGAGATCAATTGACTTGATGCTAGATCAATGTTAATCACGAACATAGGACAAAGAAGGCATACAAAACTCACTTGCCGCAGAAACTGATAGCACAGTGAAATTAGGGACTGGCAACAATGGAGTGAAGTATTATATTACCTAAAAAATTCATGAAGCTTCTCCCGAGTGGTGCTTGGAGAAATGTTCGAGACCTGAAAGCTGAAGTCAGGGAAAGAGAACGAATATGCTACTAGTTGTATTTACTGTGACTGAAAACATGGTTGATGTGGTTGTAGGTAGACTTGGATGAGTTGCAGCTTTGGTCGCAGCAGCCAAGATGCACTTAGCAGGCTGCAGCTGATTATATGCTGATGATATCATCGGTCGGCGGCGTGTGAATGTGATACTATATTTGGACATGAACACCCCGTCACACCATGCCCAAGCACAGCACACTGGTACAGGAACGCTCGCTTTTGAACATCCGCAAAGTTGTTCGAGATCAAGATGGCAGACATGGACGTTGATACTCCTGCACCTTCCAAAAAGGAAGCAAAGGATGACGGGAAGCAACGATTCGAAGTAAAGAAGGTATGGTCTTGTCTGTCTCATACTCTCGCTCCCTCCGTTGATAAGTCGCTCAGTGGAATGCAGTATCTCTTTGGGCATGGGGTACGCTGCCTATCCCTAGAATTCATCGAAGCATTCAATTTTTCTCACAGATATCGTCGTCGACAACTGCGCTATATGCAGAAATCATATCATGGATCTTTGTGCGTCTACTTGTTTGCATCTCATCCCAACGTCACTCAAAGGACGCTGTCATTTAGGTATCGACTGCCAGGCAAATCAGGTATCAGCATCTACAGACGAATGTAATGCTGCATGGGGGATTTGCAACGTGAGTTTATCGCTACTCGATGACTCCTTTAGATCTCATCCCCGCCACTCCTTCCAAAGCACGCATTCCATTTCCACTGTATCTCACGTTGGCTCAAGACGCGCAATGTATGTCCGCTGGATAATCGTGAATGGGAGCTCCAGAAGTGTGTTTCTTCTTCTTTCTGGTTCAACTTTGCTGATGTATGCATAACAGATACGGACGGTGATCGTGGCATGTCCAACTCCTTTACATCCACGTCTTGTTCCATTACTGTAAGATGTCGTTATTCATCCACTGTATCAATCATAGAAATACTTTCATGTCGCATTGCACCAATCTCTTGGATGAACAAACATTGTTTAAGCTGTCTGAAAGACAGTAACGTGGTTCGAAGACACCAAGTGTTCTCGTCAGCATGCCTCCGACAGTCCAGGCAGCATATGAACGGAGAAGGCCATGCGTGGAAACATATAGCTGAATCTTATCGCACCATCACTTCGCAGAGCTTCATGCCTGGAAGATGACCTCAGTCTCCTCTGTTCGTGCCAGGTAAAGTCATTAGAAAAGGTAATTCCTCCTTACTACTTCATGGGTGATGCAGATACGTAGTTCTGACGTCTGACGTCTGCACAGGCACCGGAGTGCAATCCCCTTTACCTTTCTTTAAGCAACATGTACTGATAGTATGAGAAAACAGCCAGCTAGAGAGTCAATCGGACCAGGACACCTGACCAACCTCCTCCAAACTCACCCAAGCGAGTAGAAAAGCATTGTATTCTCGGGTCTGTCGGTCTGTATATGCCCGTCCACCAAATCGGTGACCACATCGAGAACGGTCACTCGTTTCGTATCGTCTGCAGCTTTTGGATTTACGCAGGTCTCTACTGACTGATGTTATGAGGCTATATGAACCTTCAAGTGGGCTACTCAACATCGTCAACGACCGTAAGTGTATTATCGGCAGCTCACCATGATATCGTGTAGCATAGTGCAGGTTTCATTACTAAATCGTCACCCCTTGATGTCACCGAGACGTTGAGCTTGATCCCAACGTTGGTATTGCACTTCCGCCACCGTGGCGCGTGTCTGAACTGATCAAGCTTCAAGTCCTTTCCCTTTTCAATTAACTGGCTGCAAAGTCGTTGGGCAATTCCAACGAAGTCTAAGATAGCTGCTACAATAACCTCCAGCAGCCAATAATTATACTAACTTTTCTTACCCGTGATTTCTCGCACATCCGCCTAACACTATCACAAAGTGCATCGGAAGTCGAAGGACGGCTGGCCAATTTTAGAGAACTATTACGCACTCTTGTTTCTGGTGCACGCAAATACTTAACATCGTACGGCAGACAATCGCCATAGGCCCATAAATCACAGGTCACCAACATGAATGCAATTCGATTGGAAAACTACAATTGTGGTGTAAAATAAAACAGACGACATCTAAATTCCACCCAGAATTTACCGTGATTGTCAAGATATTCGTTGCCGAGAAGATGGTTTATCTTCAAACTTCAAAAGATCATACAGAGATTGAATTTGATCAACCTATCGAGCAGTTAGCAAAGCTGATATCAAATCAAGCTTGATTTACAACCTTGCGCTCAATCAAATCAATGATATCTTGAAGATGATCAGCCACAATACGCCGCCTCGCCGCCTGCACCGTTGAGTCCATACCCTTGTATTCGTCTGCCAGCTCACTATAAATCCTATATAAAATGAATGAGCGCGTGGACAATAATGGTCATAGTAAATTCCAAACCCTTTATGATGTGTAAATTCCTCCTCAAGTTCTCGTAATACCCTGACGAGCACAGTCTGTGGTGGCAACTTGCCGCCCTGGAAGATGGCTTCGTACGAATCGACACCATCGGGTTCAAAGGCATTCGCTCGGGACTGGAGGGGATCGTCCTTGACTTGCGCATTAGGGCCCTGATCATTCAAGAGTGGGACCCGTCCCTGACTTGGACGTGTGGCCTTCGTGTTCGCATAACTACCGGTGCGCGTTGACCGGTGATTACACCGGGTGCATGTCCCAGAGTTGTGTTTCGGTGCAGAGAAGAATAAGTTTTCGAGGCGACCTGAACGAATACGGGGGAAGGGGGCAGCTTCATTATCCTTCAACGTCTCCCTCCTAGTGGCAGGCCGACTCCCGTCTTCGGATTCAGCGACTCGAGCGTGTGTCATGTCACCTGGACGCGAGCCATGGCGCAATGACAGGGGAACACTTCCACGAGAGGATCCTTCAGAACGTTGTTCCTCAAGGTCTTCCGATATCCGAGTTAATGGGGCAACATCATCGTCTCTCGAAGGCTCCCTTCGAGTAGCGAGACATCTGCTATCTTCGGAGTCAGTGAGCCGAGTCATGTCACCTGGGTGCGACCGCGAGCTATGTCGTGACGACAGGGACGGGCTTCCACAGGAAGATCGCTCAGATCTTCGCTCCTCCAGGTCTTCCGATATCCGCGTCAGTTCATCCACGTCAACAAACCTTCTTGTTGACTGAAAATCAGAACGAGTAGTCACTAGGTCTGGCTCCTGATGCAACTGGTCCGGCACAGAGACCTCGTCTTGCTCTTCCACGAGCTGTGACTGCTGCTCCCTCGCCATCCGTCTTTCATTAAGACCCTCTTCTACAACATTCCTGAGTACTTCAATCTCACCCGCAAGCCTTTCAACCTCGAGCCGAAGGGCGCCAATTTCATCTGTTTTCTGGGCAAGCATCTTGGCGTCGTCCTCTCTGAGTCTCTTAAGGTCCTCTAGGAGCTGTTGTTGTGCTGTCAAGTCTGTGGTGACACGGGTGAGGTGTGAGCGGAGGGTAGATATCAAGGATTCGAGTGCTGTACGAGCGGGTCAGATGAGATTCATCAGAACGACGGGCTATAGCCGACCTTTCTTTTCCTCCACGACCTCGAAATACTTTGACTGTTCTTCCTCTCTCTCTCGTCGCTCCCCTTTGCCCCTTTTCCATGATGGCTCGCCTGGGTCTTGTTCTATGATTCTAGAACGTTCTCGAGCGACATCACGTTTGCATTGTTGGAGCTCGCACTCGAGTTCCCGGACGCGGCGGCGAGCGATGCCGTTTTCTGTTTCAAGATGAGCGAGCTTTGCATGAAGGGCGTTAAGTGACGCTATAAGACGGGCTGTACAGGAATTGAGATTCTTGAAATAAGTGAAAAAGAATTACTGACATTCCACCTCTTTCGATGAACCAGCGGTCTTGATACCGTAGCGTTCAAGGTTGGCCTTTGCAGGAGAAACAACTGCACTCGTAAGGCCAGTCAAGTCTGGGAGGTTTACTCGTCCTCTGCTGGCTTTCCTCAATGACCGATTTAGTGGGGCCACCTCTATATTAATATCAACGGCACTGTGATCGAGGACGTCGTGAAGGGGTTGTTTCAATGCATCGTGGTGCTTCAGAGAGACGCGACGAGAACCTGCAAGTGCCACACGAGGGGTAGTAGTAGTTTGTGATTGGTTCTGGAGTAATGCAGCATCCTCGGCCTGAGCCTCATGCACATCCTTCGCAAGGCCCCTCGCCATGCGAGTAAATTTGGAGCTAGTTGCGGATGGTGTGGGCGGCTGAACATTTACCTGCGGCTGGGATACATGCCGCCGCACGGGTGTTGTATCCACGTCGAAAGATACAGAATGAGAGGCCTTGCGTGCTTTAGGAGTTGTTGCTTTTCTGGAATAGGATGGAATATGTTGGAAATCAGGTGCATCGTGTAGATACGAATGGGAGCGAGAGGGAGACTGTTGCGCCGCAGTACTTCTTTGTAAATTGCGCGGTCGTCGTGGAGAGAAGCCGACACGTTGCAAATTGGCGGAGAGCTTGCGGCGGGAGGTGTTGAGCGAGCGGTCTGCTTCTAACTCAGCCGACTCAGGTTCGAGAGGTGGAGAACGAAGTCTTGCAGCAAGTGCCACAGGGTGTGAGACCTGAGACAGATCGTAGTCGCATGACGCATCGATGGCCTCACGAGAGCAGGGCTGAAGGGCATGTTAGTGGATGTAAGAGAGACAAGCCTGATGGATCGTACCATTTGTCTGGACTTGGAGTGAGGCTCTAAGATACTGATGCGGCTGTCCATACCAGCAATCATATCTTGCAGCGGGCGATCTGGGTCGTACTCAGCACCACTGAGACTGATTTCCCTCCGTTGACCATGCCCACCGAGCCCCGCGCCGATTGTGACAGCGCTGGCATGGTGGCCGATTGTGGAAACAGTCTCACCGGCATAAGGATTTACACCTTCATCTTCATGCGTGGACCACGCGTGCAAGCCACTGGGAGCATCATAGTCAAAGTGCTGACTGGGTTGTTCGAATGATGCAAAGCCTAGGGAATGGTTAGAATTGTGTCTCGGATATTCAACGCTGTCGTCGTCCCCTTGTGAAGATGAAAGATGCAATGATAAATCAGTGTTTTGTATCTGCTGTTCGAGCTGAATGCGAGACTGTTCAAGCTCATCACCAGGAATAGAAAATTCGAAAGTGGTTGACGGACGTCGCGCCATCAATTTCGCAGCGCAGGTTGTATAGAAATAAGAAACAAGAACGAGATTAAAGATCAAAAGCTATATGAAGGGTGAGATTGAAGAAAGTCACAGTCGAACTCAATGCGACAAGACACGGTCCACACCGAATCCACACAAAAAAACAACACGACGCGCCAGTCACGTGAGCGAGCATAACTCCCGTCTTGTCATGGTTCTGCCACAATTTTTAGTAGTACCTGATGGAAACACAAACCCATAAACCTCATCGTCCAGCCCAGTCTGGCTCAAAAGCTGAAAAGAAAGGCAAGGGAAAACAAAAAACGGGGTTCAATGAAAAGGTGCTATCTGCGAACCGCTCTCTAGCATTTCCTTGTTAACATTCTCTCAGGCATTTGCACCAAAATCTGGGCGACGTGCTGATCGCCAGGCCCGGAGAAACGTCGAGCGTGATGAAGCTCGTCTTCATGTCCCTCTCGTAAACAGAACACCTGATGATGAACCCCCACCAGTCATCATCGCAATCGTTGGGCCTCCAGGCGTAGGCAAGACCACTCTGCTCAAAAGCCTCGTCAGAAGATACGCAAAGCAGACATTGTCCGAAGCCAAGGGTCCGATCACTGTGGTTGCTGGAAAGAAAAGGAGGCTCACATTTATCGAGTGTAATAGCGACCTCAATTCTATGATCGACATCGGTAAGGTCGCCGACCTCGTTCTCCTCATGATTGACGGCTCTTATGGCTTTGAAATGGTGCGCTTGTTCATGCCAAAAATTTCATATCATAACTATATTTGATCGACGACAGGAAACGTTTGAATTCCTCAACATCCTCCAGGCTCATGGTTTTCCAAAAGTCATCGGCATCCTTACTCATCTCGAC